GGACTTCTGAAGACCGTCGAAAGTGGTCTTAAAGGTAGGTAAGTCGGTTGTTACTACTCCTACTCCTACAGCTGCCCCTGTTTTGGCTATCGGACAAGGCAAAGGGAAGAAGAGGAAGACCCGTTCGAAGGGTACCAAGGGAAAGTCTCTTGATGGCTCCTCATCAAGTGGAACCAAAGGTGGTTCTGCTACTCCTTCTGTCATCCCTAAGGATGTTGAATGCTTCTATTGCCAGAATAAGGGGCACTGGAAGAGAAACTGCTCAAAGTACTTGCAGGATGTCAAGGATGGGAAAGTGAAACCATCCCATGCATGTATTTACACTATATTGTCTAATAACTCACCATATTCTAACTCTTGGGTCCTTGATACAGGTTGTGGTATTCACATATGTTCTGATTTGCAGGGCCTAAGAAGAAGTGAGGATGTGGAGCACGGAAAGATAAACTTAATCATTGGGAACAACAAGGTTTCATCTGTTACCAAGATTGGAGTTTATACTTTGTTTCTAGATAGTGGGTTAAAGTTAGATTTGAATAAATGTGTTTACTCGTCTGAAATGGCGAGGAATATTATTTCTTTTCATGGTTTGTACAAACAATGGTTTACTTTTTCTTTTGATAATGAAATTGGTAGTATTAATGCTTTCTTTAATAATGTTCTTTATTTTAAAGTATTACCTTGTGATGGTGTGTATGAAGTTTGTATAGGTTGTAGATAATTTAGGAAATAATGTATTATGTATTGATTCTTCTACTAGCTTGGATAAAGCATCTTTGTGGCATTGTCGTCTTGGACATGTGAGCAAGAAACGCATAGGCCAGCTCCAAAAGGATGGAGTCTTGGAGTCGTTCGACCTCAAGTCGGATGATAGTTGTGAGTCTTGTCTACTTGGAAAAATGACAAAATCACCCTTCACTGGTACTTGTGCAAGGGGTGAGGGTTTGTTGGACCTTATACATACTGATGTATGTGGACCATTCAAAACCGCCACAAGGGATGCTAATCGCTATTATGTGACTTTTATTGATGATTTTAGTAGATATGGTTATGTCTACTTAATCAAACATAAGTCAGAAACTTTTGAAAGGTTTAAAGAGTTTTAAACAGGAAGTAGAAAATCAATTGGGCAGGAACATTAAGATGCTTCGATCCGATCGAGGTGGTGAGTATCTTAGTACTGAGTTCCTCGACTATCTTAAGGAGTGTGGGATTGTCTCACAATTGACACCTCCCAGGACACCACAGCTGAATGGTGTAGCTGAGAGGCGCAATCGAACTTTGTTGGACATGGTTCGCTCTATGATGAGTCGAGCTTTGCTACCAATCTCCTTTTGGGGGTATGCCTTAGAGACTACCGCCCACATCCTTAATCTAGTCCCTACAAAGAAGGTTGCCAAAACACCTCATGAGATGTGGACTGGGAAAGTTCCAAATTTGGACCACATCAAGATTTGGGGTTGCGAGGCTTTCGTGAGGCGCGAGACTCATGACAAGCTCGAACCTCAAAGTGAAAGGTGTATTTTCATCGGCTACCCACAAAAATCCTTTGGTTACCTCTTCTACAGACCCAGTGAGAATGTGGTCTTTGTGGCTAGGAGAGGGGTCTTTCGAGAGAGAGAATTTATAAGCCAAGGAGACAGTGGGAGGCAAATTGACCTTGAAGAAATTCAAGACTCAATTGGTGAAGGAACCTCAGACACTAGCAATCAACTTCAGGAGGAAATTCCTGTTGATCCAGCTGACGAGTCTATACTTCCGAGGCGTTCCACAAGGGTTAGGAACACACCTGAGTTTTATTATGGATTTCATATTACTACGGAAGGTGATACGTTTATCAGTGACAGTACACTGGTAAATCTGGATGAACCTAACAGTGTTAAGGAAGCCATGGCAGGCCCAGAGTCTGCTAAATGGAAGGAGGCTATGGACAACGAGATACAGTCCATGTATGACAATCAAGTTTGGAACTTGGTTGACAAAGTACCAGGCCGTAAGACAGTCGGGTGCAAATGGATCTTCAAGAAGAAGACCGACATGGATGGGAAGGTGCACACTTATAAGGCTCGACTGGTTGCGAAGGGGTTTACTCAGACTCAGGGTATTGATTATGATGAAACCTTTTCACCAGTAGCAAAGATTAAGTCTATTAGGGTTATGCTAGCCATTGCTGCATTTCATGATTATGAAATATGGCAAATGGATGTCAAAACCGCTTTCCTTAACGGAAAGTTGGCTGAGGATGTTTACATGAATCAGCCAGAAGGTTTTGTCAGTGCAGAGTACCCCAATAGAGTGTACAAGCTTGAGAAATCCATTTATGGATTGAAACAAGCATCTCGAAGTTGGAATCTTTGTTTCGATGAGAAGGTCAAAGAGTTTGGTTTCTCAAGAAGTGAAGATGAGTCCTGCGTGTATGTCAGAGCTAGTGGGAGTATAGTTAGCTTTTTGGTACTGTATGTGGATGACATACTACTCATAGGAAATGACATCCCAACCTTGCAGGAGGTTAAGTCCTGGCTTGGGAAGTGCTTTGCTATGAAGGACCTTGGAGAAGCTACCTATATCCTAGGGATAAGGATATTAAGAGAAAGGAGTAAAAGACTAATTGGACTTAGTCAGAGTATCTACTTGGATAAGGTGTTGAAAAGGTTCAACATGCAGAATTCCAAGAAAGGAGAAGTACCGATCCAAAGCAATGCCAAACTGAGCAAGGCTCAGAGCCCGAGTACAGAAGATGAGATAGCTGAGATGAGTCGATTACCTTATGCTTCCGCTGTTGGTTCGATCATGTATGCTATGACTTGTACCCGTCCTGATGTGGCCTTCGCTTTGAGCATGGTCAGCAGATATCAGGGGAACCCTGGCAAGGCTCATTGGACTGCGGTAAAGAATATTCTCAAGTACCTGCGGAGGACTAAGGATTGGATCCTTACCCTTGGTGGGAGTGATGACTTGAGAGTAGTAGGGTATAGTGATGCTAGCTTTCAAACTGATAGGGATAACTTCCGCTCTCAGTCGGGCTGGGTCTTTACCTTAAATGGAGGGGCAATCACTTGGAAGAGTTCCAAACAGGAGACTGTAGCTGATTCGACTTATGAATCAGAGTACATAGCAGCGAGTGAAGCGGCAAAGGAGGCGATATGGCTGAGGAACTTCATCGGAGACCTTGGAGTTGTACCAGCTATTAAGGAGCCTATGGAGATTTTCTGTGACAGCAATAGTGCGATTGCCTTAGCCAAGGAACCAAGAGATCATGGCAGATCCCGACACATTGACAGAAAATATCACTTCATAAGACACAAGATAGAAGAGGGACTCCTCGTGGCAAAGAGGGTATAGTCAGATGAGAACCCTGCGGATCCCCTTACGAAGGGACTGACGAGGGTGAAGCATTTGCAGCATGCGAGGCGCATCGGGCTGAGGGACGATATTAGTTTTACAGATTAGATAGCCTTTTCTGAAACTTGTAAAATGTAATTGACGTTTGATGATGAATAAAATTTGTGATTTATTTATGAGTAAAGTGTTGCTATCATTGTCAATTATTTACTATTGTTTCAGTTTTGCATGTTTTGACTTCCAGAATAATTAATTTATTCAAACTCTCCACAGTCGGTCATATGTCGGAAGTAGGTATGAATCAAGACTATCATGAATTGGGATTGTAGATGACTAAAGGTGTTTAGCCATAGCAATGGTTGCTACAACATTCATGAGTACTCATAAGTTATGAGTATTGGAATAAACCCACGCTCACTTGTATCACTTCATGGAATTTATCTCGAGTGATCGTGAGACGGTAATATCATATAAGTCTTCAAACCTAGAGATATGAGTTGTTACCTATGAGTTGATTGTGCATTGATTGCACGTAAACGCATCAGTAACTTGATGTTATAAAGCGTGCCTTTGTGTATGCTTCAACAAGTAGTAGAACAAGCATATGAGTCAAAGTTTATCTGTTCCTTCTTGGATTAGAAGCGATATCTGGTCCCCTCGATGATTTTGTGTTGACCCATGTACCGGACCCGGTCAAAACTAAGTTGATGTGTTCAATTAAGTTTTATGTCAAACAAATCGGAAATCGGGAAACAAACTGCAGGACAATAAGTAAGACATTGTTCCATGTATTTGTCCGGCTGATATCTAGAACAGAGGATTATATGATCACTTATCTTAAATGACGTATCATCATCATCTCAGTTCCGAGAGACCTTGAAAGAGCTACGATTGTTGATCGGTTCCTGAAGTCATACTTGCAGTTATAGTTATTAGACTTATCCAAGTGGGAGACTGTTGGATAAGGTGTCTAAGTCCATAACTATTTCTGGTATGTACTTGACCCGGTTTGGCATGGTCCATTTGGGTTGCATGGCATCATGCATTTGGATAGACTAAAATGAGATAAATAACACTTATGGTTTATTAATATATTATAAGTTCTAATATATTAATAATATTATTTAATTAGTATTGATCAAGAATTAATTTAGAATTAATTAAGTGATCAAGAATTCTAACTAACATCTTTATTTATAGTTTCACAAAACAGAGAGTCGGTTAGAGACCGACCAATCAGGTCATCACGCCTAGGTTGTGATAGAATGTCAAAACAATAATGTATATCATTACGAAGCCTAATGTACAAAACTACGAAACCAAACTCACTTTTTGTAATTAAACAATGAAGGCTAAGATGGTTCTCAATCCTTCATAACACATGATGCTTGTCAAAGAAACTTTCCCCTTTCACAATCCTTCATATTAAACTCGATGGTGTAATTGAACCATTACCACGGGTGAAGCATCTTAGAATCCACAATATAATCACAAAAATGTCCAAAATAAAGAATGGAGTGTGGCTATTATCTTGGGCCGTCATGAATTTACAACGTTAGTTGCATTGAAATTTTTTTATTACAACAATAAAAGTTTTTTTGTATTTCAATGACATTGTTATAACTAGATCAATGTTCAAATGTTGTAATACGAAGAAATGAAAGTATGACAATATAATAAACTAATCAATAAGAGTACATTCTTGTTTCTTGCATTTAACCCGTAGGTAAACTCCACCTAGAACAGAACAAAGAAGGTGACACACGGTCTCCGACCTTGGACCTCGCCTCACTTATTAATTCTCATATCCTAAAACGCTAAAAGACACACACATGACATCTTCTATATATACTTTCAATAATTGCGTTCCACAACTATGCAAACCCAAAACTTGAACTTTCTTTATAACTAATTACACGAAAACTCCACACCTATACGTCTATACCACAACACCCTTATGGTTCTTGTATATACAAAAAAAAATGAAATCTTTTTTTTACATTTTAGCTTTTCTTTCACTTTGTGATGTTATTGAGGCTCCACCAAGTGCAACCGCAGCAGATTCCACATGTGTAAGAAGATGATCATAAATCTTCTTTCTTATCCGATCAATTCTCTCCCCTTCATCTTTTACTCGTCTCAATCTTATCCAACCACTCACTCACACTCTTGAGCTGAGTCAGCATCCCCGCGATTCTACCATTATCCGATACCATGTCCACATCAGCATCCAAGAATCTTTCAACAAACCCCAAAACCAATCACCCGACTCCATTTTCAACATTTCTGCCAAGTTTATCGTCTCATAAAGACCAGACCCCTTTTCCCATTTTGAAGGTGGGGCCCGGGAGTTTTGGTCAACCACAGTCCTACGTGGCTTTGGTGGTGGGGTCTTGGTGGAGCCATCGAGTGGTAGGGTTGACCGGCGGCTAGAAAATGGTGGTTGTTTGGTGTACACTGTGAAAGATGATAAGTTTGTGATTAAGGCAGAGTGTACCCAAAGATTTGCTTTTTTTTGTCGATCAGATGTGAGTTTTATGAGTTCTTCTGATGGGTTTTCTTCGGGATTTGATGATGAATTAGGGTTTATGATTTTTGTTAAAGATTTGGTAATTTGATGAATGTTATTTAAGGTAGCATTCATGGACAAAAACTGGTCAATAGTGGGTTGTGGGTTGTCTTCTTTTGCGGAAGAACAGAGCTCAGAATAAGTCCTGTCAAAAAAAAAAGTTAAAAAAAGGTTTAGTAATCAATGCTGATGTGGCACTCACATGGCATACCTCGTGTAAATTAGAAGCAAAATCTTTTTAGAACATAGATTAATTTGATATTATAAAAGATTGATTTTTATGCCACAAAGTACCTTATACATTGAGTATGCTTTCAGCAGCTGAAGCTTCTTGCATAGCTTCCATGGCAGCAATTTGTGCAGCATCTCTATGCTTCAGCACTTCCTGTGAAATCATGGCATGAGTTCTAATTATCATGACAATCTGAGAAAATCATGCGAAAGTTAAGTTGAACTTTTTTGCAAATGCAACATAGGACAAAAATGCCCCTTGATGTAATGCTTGAATCATGAATGTGCTCCTATTGCTTGAAGAGTAAAATTTTTTATGGTGCTTTTTTTTGGCAAATGCATATATGGAATAAAGGTATATAAATAATTTTACTCCTACCATTTGATGATCGTTTTCTTTGTGACTAGTATGAAGACCAGTTATATAACTCTATATAATCAGATAATCATATACACAAATAGGTTTACAAAAACACTACTATACACAAATTATTGCAACTTGAAGATGCATAATTCGATAATTACTTTCAATACACATAATTATAGCATCTTACTCTCATTTTTTCTATTACAGTATTCTATTTTTAACTTTTTTCTTATTAAGCATTATACTTTGAAAATCTACCAAATTATATAATCTCACTTTCAGTTTTTAACTTTTTACATTAGAACAATGTACTTTTAAAAATCTACTCATTATAGCATTGAAAAATTGCTTTGTATCTAGATGGGATTGCAATAGTTCAAAGTACAATGTAGTAATAGAAAAAAACTGAAAGTATGATGCTATAATAAACCAATAAATGAAAGTACATTGTTGTTTCTTGCATTTAACCACAACTAAAAGTGAATCACACACTCCAACAATGCAATAGTCATATAATAATTGAAAATATACCTTTCCAAGGTTTGAAATATCCAATGGGAGTGAAGACCAAGAATCACTTTCGTAGTTAATCTCTTATTACTAAGAGAAACCTTCATCATGTTTCCTGATAATCCCTTACATGAAGCTTTTGCTAATGATTTCCTCCCATTTGATGATTTTTCTTTAATCATAGCAATTTTCTTCACTTGTGTTTCATTCTTACTTTCTTCTTTAGATGACTTTACAAACAACTTCACTTTATTATCCTCCTCCTTCGATTGTGTCATTTCACTTGTCGATTTTCTTGAAGTCTACATTATAAGATTAGTTCCATTCGGTAGATTAGAAATGATAATTAAAAAGAAACAAAACAAAAGAACAGATAATTGATGTTTTAGGATAAAAAGAACTTACAAAAGTAATCCGAGATTCAGGCTTTGAAGTTTTTTTGATGATATTAAGTTTTGGAATCCTTGCCTCCATACTACCCTTCCAGCTCTTCCTAAGAGCCTTATGTCCCAAATCAATACCTTGAATCCCATATTTCTTCTTCACACTTTGACTCACTTTTCCTCCCAAATTCAACTTACCCATTGTCTTATTTACTCCATTGATACTCGATTGCTTCTTAACCCCATTAGAGAACTTCTCAAATGAATTCGGCATTGAATAACAACCGGATGGAGACATAGGCATTTCGCTTGAATTGATCGATTTTGCTTTCAATCTCAAAGACCCTTTTACACTAATTCCATCATTTACCGATTTTGACATATGAGATTTAGATCTTGCCAAAAGTGGTGTAGTTTTCTTGCTACTAAAATTATTGTTTAGGTTTAAAGACCCTTTTGCTCTAATTCCATCAATAAGTAGTAGAACAAGCATATGAGTCGAAGTTTATCTGTTCCTTCTATAAATAGAAGCGATATCTGGGCCCCTCGATGATTTTGTGTTGACCCATGTACCGGGCCCGGTCAGAACTAAATTGATGTGTTCAGTTAAGTTCTTTGTCAAACAAATCGGAAATCGAGAAGCAACTGCTAGACAATAAGTAAGACATTGTTCCATGTATTTGTCCGGCTGATATCATGAGAGCAGAGGATTATATGATCATTTATCTAAAATGGCGCTTCATAGTTCACAAGAGTTTTCGAGAGCTACGATTGCCGGTTGGTTCCTGAAGTAATATAGGCAAATAGAGTTATTAGACTTATCCAAGTGGGAGTCTGTTGGATAAGGTGTCTAAGTCCATAACTTATTTGGTATATACTTGACCCGACCCGGCATGGTCCATTTAGGTTGCACTTCACCCAAACTAGTTATGGATAATTTTATGAGAGTTGTATACTTACGATTTATTAATATATTATAAGTTATAATATATTAATATAAAGTCATGTTACCTAATTAGTTTTAATCTTGAATTAATTATGAATTAATTTAGTGATTAAAAGGAAGACTAATTAAATCATGGGCTATTATATTTATATGGTGTGGGCTAACACTCATTTGGGAATGGGCTAAGCTTATATGGAAGTCCATGGATGATCCATGGAGCTTTTACCCATGGATCCTTGGAAGAGGAAAAGACATGGGTTATTAGGGTTTCACCCTAACCATGTACACTATATAAACAAGCTTATGTTGCATGAAAAAGACACTAATGTGTGTGTAAGTGTGGTGGCCAAAATCAAGAGTTAGTATACTCTCTCATACATTTTCCAAGTTTCTGGTGATTTTGTGATTTCCATTTGAGGCGTTCACATTATTGGTGCTTGGCTCTCAAACTCCAAGGAATCAACAATCAACAAAAGGTATGTAATTCATCTAGTTCTTTTATGGTTAAAAGTACCCCATGCCATGCTAGATAGGTTATAAACCTTGGAAAATAATATTTTGCATGTATCTTAGACAAACATAGATCCAAGGTTTAATAGGGTTGCATGTACACTTAGGAAGTGTTAGAATGCTCAAAACCCAACAATAATAGGTATGGATTGGTTATGCCCTAACCATGCTGACATCCTATGTTATGAAAGAGCCATTCGTTTGAACTTGCCAACTAACGAAACACTTGTTATTTACGGCGACAAACCCGGAACGAACCTCCAAATCATTTATTGCATCAAGGTACAGAAGTACCTTCGCAAAGAGCACTGTGCTTTCTTAGCTCACGTGGTAGACAAAAAATCAAGAAGTGAAAAATATTGCGAGCATTCCTGAGGTCTGCAACTTTCCCAACATTTTTTCCCGATGATCTTCTAGGAGTACCTCCCGAACGACAAGTCGAATTCAGAATCGATTTAATCCCTGGGGCTACCCCTGTAGCCAAATCCCCCTATCGTCTTGCACCTTCTGAAATGCAGGAATTATCCAGCCAGCTTAACGAACTCCTTAACAAAGGTTTCATCAGACCAAGCTTCTCACCCTGGGGAGCACCGGTTTTGTTCGTGAAGAAGAATGATGGATCATTCTGTATGTGCATAGACTACCGCGAGCTGAATAAACTTACCATCAAGAATCGATATCCTCTGCCTCGCATTGACGATCTGTTCAATCAACTTCAAGGTGCGAGCTACTTCTCAAAAATAGACTTAAGATTCGAGTATCACCAGTTACGGATTCTGGAGGATGACATTCACAAAACCGCGTTCAGAACTCGTTATGGTCATTATGAGTTTGTAGTGATGCCATTTGGATTGACGAATGCACCTGCTGTGTTCATGGACCTAATGAACAGAGTGTGTCGTCCATTCCTGGACAAATTCCTTATAGTCTTCATTGACAATATCCTTATCTACTCAAGAAGTGAAGAAGAACATGGCCAACATCTTCATCAAGTATTGCAAACTCTTAGATCAGAGAAACTCTATGCGAAGTTTTCAAAGTGTGAATTTTGGATCAGGAAGGTTGATTTCCTAGGTCACGTGGTCAGTTCAGAAGGAATACACGTTGACCCTTCCAAAATAGAGGCAATTGAAAACTGGTCAACACCCAAAACACCTACAAAAATGCGTCAATTCTTAGGTCTTGCTGGCTAGTATCGCAGATTCATCCATAATTTCTCTCGAATAGCTAAGCCTCTTACCACCCTGACGTAAAAGGGTGTAACTTTTAGTTGGCGAGAAAAGCAAGAAACAGCGTTCCAAACGCTGAAACGAGCTTTGTGTAGTGCACCGATCATGTCTCTTCCTGAAGGGACAGAGGATTTTGTAGTGTACTGTGATGTTTCTAATCAAGGGCTTGGATGTGTTCTTATGCAAAAAGGAAAGGTTATATCATATGCCTCAAGACAGCTAAAGACACATGAAGTCAATTATACAACACATGACCTTGAACTAGGAGCAGTGGTATTTGCTCTGAAGATCTGGAGACATTACTTATATGGCACGAAATGCACAGTATTCACGGACCATAAAAGTCTCCATCATATCTTCAATCAGAAAGAGCTAAACATGAGACAACGACGATTGGTGGAGCTACTGAACGACTACGATTGTGAGATTCTTTATCACCCTAGTAAAGCTAACGTAGTAGCTGATGCCCTTAGAAAAAAAGAATACTCGAAATGCCGAGTAAAGTCGTTGACCATGGCAATCCATTCACATCTGTCCACACAGATCAGAGAGGATCAAATCAAGGCCTTAAAACCTGAAAACGTGGCAGGTGAAACCTTGAGAGGAATGGATAAAAACTTCAAAGTTAGGGATGATGCAGTCTATTGTTTCATGAACCGAATCTGGACACCAAAGTTCAGTGGTTACAGAGACGTGGTTATGAATGAAGCACACAAAACCCGATACTCCATTCATCCAGGTTCAGACAAGATGTATCTGGACCTCATGAAACTATGATGGTGGCCTAACATGAAGGCTGAAATTGCTACCTTTGTGGGTAAGTGCCTTACTGGTAGAATGCCAGAAACCTTCAGGTTTATTACAACAACCTGAAATCCCTGAATGGAAGTGGGAGCGGATTACAATGGATTTCATAACCAAGTTACCCAAGAAATCGGGTGGTTATGATACTATTTGGGTAATCGTTGATAGATTAACCAAATCTGCACACTTCTTACCGATCAAAGAGACTGACAAGATGGAGAAGCTAACAAGAACTTACCTCAAAGAAATCGTTAGACTGCATGGTGTGCCAATATCTGTTATTTCTGACCGAGATAGTAGATTCACTTCTCGTTTCTGGCAGTATTTACAAAAATCTTTGGGAACTAGGTTGGACATGAGTACAACCTATCACCCACAAACTGACGGACAAAGTGAGAGGGCGATTCAAAGTCTAGAAGATATGTTGCGAGCTTGCGTGATAGACTTTGGAAAGGCATGGGATACTCATTTACCTCTTGTCAAATTCTCTTACAACAATAGTTATCACACTAGCAAAAAAGTTGCTCCTTTCGAAGCTCTCTATGGCCGCAAGTGCAGATCACCTCTGTGCTGGGCTGAAGTGGGTGACACGCAGCTAGCTAGAAGTCAAGTTCCTGACGGTGCTCTCACTGGTCCGGAAATCATTCACGAAACTACGGAGAAAATTGTGCAAATCCGGGAGCAACTTAAAGCTTCCAGAGATAGACAGAAAAGGTACGCTGACAAAAGAAGAAAACCTTTGGAATTCCCGGTTGGTGACCGCGTCATGTTAAAGGTCTCACCCTGGAAGGGCATGATACACTTTGGAAAGTGTAACAAGCTGAATCCAAGGTACATAGGGCCATTCCAAATTCTTGCTAGAATCGGTCCAGTAGCTTACAAACTCCGGCTACCTCAAGAACTAAGTAACATACATCCTTTTTTCCACGTCTCGAACTTGAAACAGTGTCTGTCCGACGAGAATCTTGTAATTCCACTCGACGAAATCGAGATCGACGAGAGCCTTAACTTTGTGGAAGAACCAGTAGAGATCATGGACCGAGAGGTCATCAAAACGAAGCAAAGCCGTATTCCTATAGTGAAGGTTCTCTGGAATGCCAAGCGGGGACCTCGATTCACTTGGGAGAGCGAGGATCAAATGAAACTGAAATATCCTCATATTTTTGCTTAGTTATTTGTAATTGCTTAAACTCTAATTTCGGGACGAAATTCTCTCTAACGGGGGGATAATGTGACAACCCGAAATTTCTATCTTGTACAATTATTCAATTCAATCTCACTCAGACTCGTTTCTGCTATCTTTAGCGTTGTTTAGGGTCTATTTGAGTGTTTTAAGCTTAGTACATTCAAGGTTTGGGTTTAGGGATGAGATAACTTAAGTTCATCGTATTGCACTCGGGCCAAACACTCCATCAAAAAGAGTGTACGGTCGTACACATGAGTGTACGACCGTACACATGAGTGTATGGCCGTACACCCAAGGTGGTCGTGCACCCAAACATATATAAGTTTTCCCTTCATTCTTTCTCACTTTCTCACACTTTCACCTCAAGAAATCCGATTCTCTCTCAACTATCATCAAGTTTTACACCTTAATATTCAAAGATGTAAGTATTCCTTCCATTGAATTATTAATACATGGCTTTATCTAGTGAAGATCCATGTTTTCATCCATAAAATCTTCTCTTTTGGTTCGATCTTCAAATCTTCTTCACTTTCACCAAGAACACCTACTTGTTCTTGAGCCTTGAACTCCTTAGAAGCCTTCAAAAGTGTGAGTATCTCTTCTATCTGCTTATTAAGCTTGAGAAACACTTGATTCGTAGCCTCGATTCATCATCTAATGCATGAACACCAAGGGTGTACGGCCGTACACACTTCATATGGTCGTAA